GCTGCTCAGCGCCGGCCGCTCCGCCTGGCGCCACTTCGGATGGTAAGGGACGGGCCGGGGCAGCGGGGCGGGCGCGGCGGCCCCGGCCCTGCGCAGCCTTCGCTCCCTCCCTGCCTCCCTCCCGCCGCAGGTACATGTGCTCCCTCTCCCTCTTCCACTACTCGGAGTACCTGGTGACGGCCATCAACAACCCGCGCAGCCTCTCGCTGGACTCCTTCCTGCTCAACCACAGCTTCGAGTACAACCTGGCCGCCCTCTCCTCCTGGGTGGAGTTCACGCTGGAGAAGCTCCTCTTCCCAGGTCGGCCGCCCTGCCCCTCCCTGCCACCCCCCCGCGGCCCCTGCCTCTGCCCGGCTGCATGTGGCTCGCCTGGGGCCCACCCGCCTGGGAGCACAGCGCTGGTGACCCCCGCTTGACTGACCCGTGCCGGCAGTGGCAGCTCAGGAGGGCTTTGATGCGGCCTTAATCTCTCTATGCTCAAAGCCTCTCGATTTCGGTCTCAGGGGGCAGGGGGGAGTGCTCCCCTCGCTGTGACACACCAGGCTGTCCTTGCCGTGCAGCAGGTCTTCAGCCCTTTTCTGGCCGTATCCTTCGAGCAGCTTTGGTGGTACAAAGAATGACGCTTCGGTTACATCTGGGCGTCTTCTTTTGACCTGAAATAAAATCAACTCGGCAAAAACGGTTGCTGTTTGCCCAGTCTGGGGTGCTTCCTTTTTTTTTTTTGAGAGAGGGGAGATGTTCTCCTTCCCCGCTTCGTAACGGCAGCGTGGGCTGTGGAGCTCCCCGCGTCCAGCCCTGGTGCATCCACTTGGCTGTGCTTTACATCGGCTTTACTCCGCACCGTAAAGCCGGGCTCTGCCTCAGCGCTGGGCTCCCCTTAGGGCGTTCCGCCATGAGGACGTACAGACTCTGCGTCAGGGGTGACTCCGTGGCAGGGGACGCTATTTTTACTTGTTTCGGTGGTGGGATGGCAGCGCGTGGAATGCTGGCTGTGTTGTACGCGTTGTCGCGCTTTGAGGTGGGGGGAAGAGCCCAGCCACCAACCTGACCCCCGCACCGCGAGCGTGACCTGTGCGAACCTGTTGTGACCCGTCCTTATTCACTTGCAGAGCTGAAGCAGATCACCTGGCTGAGTACTGTAGGGTTGTTGATGGTGATCTTTGGGGATTGTCTGAGGAAAGCGGCCATGCTCACAGCTGGCTCCAACTTCAACCATATTGTTCAGAATGAGAAATCGGATACTCATACTTTGGTGACAAGTGGGGTGTATGGGTGGTTCCGGCACCCATCTTACGTGGGATGGTTTTACTGGAGTATTGGAACACAGGTACCGTACACAACGTGTTCAGATACTTTCGTCTTATAACCTGGGTCTTTCTTCTTAATGCTGCCCCGCACCCGTAATGGGATGCAAACCACCGGCGGTCAGCAGCAGGGGTGGCCCGGGCGCGGATTTTGACACCTCCTCCCTCCCATCAGCACGCGGTGGGTCAGGAAACCCCAAACGCTCTGCCCCATGTGATCTTTGGGAAGACCCCATCGCCTTAATTTTCTGTGTGGAATAAGCAGGGGCGGTGGGGACGGGGTTTGAGCCAGAACGCGCTCAGAGTGCGATCCGCTGCTAGCCGAAAGCTGGTGTCCAGAGTTTCCTTGCATTCCTACAGCCAAAATGCTCTCTGTAGGCGGTCGGACTCAACCTCGCTCCTGCCAAATACCAGGCCTGTGCCGGATGGCAAAGAGAGCTCCCTCTGAGTGCTCAGGGTCCTGGCCAGAGGGTAAACTGGAAGCCAGCTGCGGTCGAGCTGTAACTCAGCCCTGCCTTAGTTGTGCTCTTCTCGTGGTTGGCTGGTGGTTGGCATTTGGTTTTATTTCTCTGGAGAGAGACTGTAAAGACTGCATGCGGAGCAGCACGGCCATGCACGGGCTCTCTAGAGCCGGGGCCCCGCTCTTAGTCGGGGTGGCAGGAGCCGGCAGCTGCCTGCAGGTGGCTTTCTTCATAAGTGCTAATTTCTCTCCAGAGCGAAATTCCACAAAAGGTGCTGGGGTCTTTTCCTTTTGTTGGAGACCATTTAGACCTCACGGCAAACTTAATGAAGGGTGATTGGCATGTGGGGACGGGGGGCAGCCTCGGTTTCTTTGGGAGGCGAGGGGACGCTAACTGCCGGTGTCTGTTCACAGGTGTTACTCTGCAATCCCATCTGCGTGGTGGGCTACGCGCTGGCGTCCTGGCGCTTCTTCAGGGAGCGGATCGAGGAGGAGGAGATCACGCTCATTCACTTCTTTGGAGAAGAGTACCTGGAGTACAAAAGGAAAGTGCCGTCGGGTCTCCCTTTTATTAAAGGAGTCAAAGTGGAACTGTAATGCGGGCAAAAACCGGACTGGCTGAGCGAACGCCCAGCTCCAGGTGCTGCGGGGCGAGCGACGGTGCATGGTGCTGGTGCCGGGAGTAGCCCGTTGGTATTTCCCGGCTGCCCAGGAGGAGCTGGCGAAGAGCTGCGGAGCTGGGCGGCCTGCCGGGTCACTAGCAGATCAGAAGCTCGTTCATCCTCCTCGAGATAAGTCCTTCATTGCACATTCAGGGATCTTCCAGATAACTTAGCCTGTAGCGACCCTAAAGAGAATCAAACCCTCCTGCCTGCAGCAGCCGAATTGTACTGAAACGCCTCTGGACTGATTCTTCCAGAGAACAGCTCTGCCCTCCCGCCCCCGTGCAGGAAAGGTGCCAGTCAGCGGATTGTTCCTATGGCGTAATTCGGTTTTAAAGCTTTTTGACCTTGCGAGCCAGGCAGCACGTCTTTAATCCCAATTCTGCAAGCTGGCGCTCGGGCAGCTCGCAGGAGCAGACCTCCGGCTCTCTGCTCCTCAGGTGCAGGGGCTGCCAACCCTCGGCTGGCTGGGGAGCCGGCAGCGCGGCACTAATCGGTTCTCCCCAGGCGTTAACGTTCACAGGGAGCCTTTTCCGCTTGCCTCATGCCGCTGGATCGTGGGCGCCTCTGTGAAACGCAGCAGGAGAGCGAGCCTGCTCCTCCTCCCTCGGCTGCTACCGTGAATTCAGGAATCACCGTTTCAGCCGCCGCCTTCCCGAGCCTCCCCGCTGCCACCTCTCTTCCCTCTTCCCAATTCCAAATCGCGCTGCTTCCTATCCTGCCAGGCCGCCTCCGTCCTGCACAGATCCCAGGATTTTGGGTTGGGAAAGAACCGCAGCTGCCGAGCTTGCTGAGGGCTTTAGCGCTTGAGATCCTTCCCTGCTTTTTTGGGCGAAACCTGGGGTGTCGGCGCGACTAGGAGATGCTTCTAGGGAAATTCTCCAAACAGGAAAAAAGTTTGGCTAGCTAACGCTATTTTAAACGTTACCATTTTGGAAATGGTTCTTACTCGAGCTTTGTGGTATAACTTATTCTGTCGTTATATACCAAAGAGGTTCACTGTTTTCTTGAGTTTTACATTATTCTTCCTAGCTGCAATGGAAACGAGTTGTTTGTCAGTTCACGCTTCGGGCTTGCGGTGTTCCTCGGTGGAGGTGCTGTGGTATGGCTCAGGAAAAGGGGGCACTGATGGAAATTGCTTTGGTTTTGGGTTTGGTTTTTTGTTTAGTTTTTTTTTTTATAAAAAACAAGAAAAAATATTGCCAACTTCTGTCTGGTGGTTATTTTGAGATCTCTTGAGGTGCCGGTGACATCACCAAAACTGGAATCCTTATTTTTACAATTCCCAGTGGGTTTTCGGTACGCTCCAGTGTTGTGCTGAGGCACGACCACGACTTGCAGTGACGCTCGGGGCTGCACAGCCACACAGACGGGGTGAATTCTCCGTCTCTCCTCGCTTAACCAACACGAGTCCTTCCTCCGCCGGGTTTGCTTTGTATTGCAGAGTGTGTTCTGCACAGAGCATCAGCTTAACGCCTTTGCTGGTAATTTGTCTTTTACCGAGCATGTTTTTAGCTTGGGAGAAAAGAGCAAGTGTGAGGACACACGGGCTGGATAGCGCCTACTTCGCTGTGTAGTCACTGGTAGGCTCCTCCTCAGGCTTTTCTGTGCCTCCGACGCACGTCCTCATGGAAGCCGCGACCTGCTGCTGTAGCCAACGTGCCTCAGGCAAGTTAATTTTTAACTAATTTTCTTTGTAGGCATTAACGTTTCTGCTGTGAACTTGCACAAGTGTACTTTGAAACATAAAAACCAAATCGATTGTCGCTTGGGTTTGACGTGAGCTGGTGATGGAAACTAAGCTTTATTCTCATGTTGTTCTTTGTAGTAAATGCACCTCGATCCTAACTTGCGAGAGCGTGCCAGCGCTAGCTCTGAGCCTGGTTCCAGCTGTCTGTTCTGGGGTCTGCCCAAGGCGGGATGCGTTAGCACCAAAAGAAGGGGATAAACTTCACCTTGAGCAAAATCTTCAGAGCCCTCTCAGTGCCCTTGAGACCAGCAGCCTCTCTCAACCTTTTATTTTCCCAAACGCTGTGACTGGAAGCTTGGTGAGGAGACAGCAGCTCACCAGGCACAGGGAAGGCGTCTGAATCTTTAGGGAAAAGCCGGAGTGAGCCGTCAAACCCTGCCCTCCTGCGCGGTGGCAGTCGGTGAGTTGTTAAATGGCACAGATGCACAAGCAGCAGAGCGCCTTTTTCTAGTGCCCTGCCTGCGTTTTTGCCTCCGCTGCTTGTCGGGGGTTCACAGGACGCTTTGAGACCCTGCTCCTGGCTCTACCCTACACCAGGGGAGTTTTGGAGGTTTTCTCCCCATGTTTGCAAACTCTGTGGTTTGAAGAGCAGCTGGACGCCCCGAGCTGGCAGGCCCGCTTTGTCCAGAGCTGCAGAACCAAGCGGACACGTACACTTGTGCCCTTTTATTTCACTTCTAACACACGAGAGGGAGAGCGCAAACACAATTATTTTTTCAGATGAACAAAGTTGCCCTAAGGCAGGCTTTTGGTATGCTGCAGGCACTGTGTGCCCGGGCTGCATTTTCCTGCCTGCGCTCATGGCACAAGGCAAAAGGAGCCGGACGCCGACTGGGGAACGGCTTTTGTGCAGTGAGCGCCAAGCGGCTCTGCGCCCTCGCTCGCCCTCGGGCTCTACGGTGCAAGCTCTTTTCGGGCGGTGCTCTCGGCCCCGCTTTTCTGCTGTCCCCTGCAGCAGTCTTTGCTTTTCAGGGAGGGGTCTCCAGAGTTGCCACCGGGCGCGCAGCCCTCCCTGGGGCTGAACGGAGCCCCCTCCTTGCTGCCGGGTGAGGCGTCCCTGGGGAAGGGAAGGCACGGCACCTCAGCAGGGTCAGCAGCCGGGAAAGGGCACGGGGGGAATTCGGCACCCAGGCACTCGCTGTCGCCTACCTCGGTGCCGCTTCGCTGTTGTCACAGATCTTGAGCAGCATCTGCGCCTGTTCCTCCTTGGGCTCCCGGGGCTCCTGCAGCCTGCGGCAGGAGGGGCGTGAGCCACGGCTGGGTCCACCCCGGCCCCAAAAGCCCCCCTGCGCCCCTCACCTGGGCTCCAGCCGCTCCTTCACCTTGGCGATGGAGCGGACGTAGGGCGCGATCTGCTTGGTGATGGTGGTCAGGCAGCTGTTCTCCTGCCGCAGCTGCAGGAGGTCGTGGAGCTGGGCTGGGGGGCGAGAGGAGCAGGCTGTGGCCACGGCCACCCTCCCGGCGCAGGCATGGGGGGTTCGGGGCCAGGGGAGCAGGGTCGCCGGTACCTTCGTAGATCTCCTGCTCATTTGCCACCCGCTGGTATGTCTCCTCCCAGACCTGGAAGGGGGAGAGGGAGCCGGGCAGCGTGCCGCGGTATGGCACGGAGGGACCCTGCTCCACCAGGACGCGCCGGCCGTACCTCCTCGAAGACGCTGCGCATCATCTCTACGGCGGAGTAGTGAGCCGCGATCTGCACGTCCATCTGCAGGGACTTCTGCAGGATCTCGCTCATGATCTCCGTCTTGATGAGCGAGTGGTGCTTGGTGAGGTCGCGGTGCAGCTCCTGCACCTGGTCCTTCAGGCCCTGGATCTCCGTCTGCAGCATCTGCGGGGCAGGGGGCAACCGCCCGTGAGCAGCACCCTCCCGTCCCGCCCCGTCCCGTCCCGCCCTGCACTCCCTACCCGGTAGGTGTTCTCGTAGTTGCGGCAGTGCTCAGCGAAGGGGGTCTCGCGCCCCTCGGCCAGCAGGACCTTGGTGCTGATGTACCGGTGCATCGTCGGCTTCCGCACCATGGGGCCAGTGGACATTTTATCACCAGCGGCGGGGCAGCTGGGCACCATGAGAGTCTTGGAGCATTGGCCGCCGGGGAGCCTGCACGGAGAGGGTGACAGCGGCGTGCTGCAGGCGAGCGGCGGGGGGGGGGGGGGGGGGTCGCCCCTGGGTGCCTGGGGACGCACCAGCCCCATGCGTCCCTTCCCTCGCCCGAGCACGGGGTCAGTCAGAGGCGCCTTACGCTGCCCCAAAAGGTTTCCGTGGGCTGCTCTCCCGATGCCTACGGCTTCGGGACTCGCTGCAGCAGGGAGAAGGCAGGAGCTGAGCTTGGCACGCTCTGGTTTCTAAAGGGAAGGATGCGGCTCGCTCCCTCACCTCTGGCATCTCCTGGCCCCTTGGCGGGTGCTGCTGTCCCTCTGTCTCCCCCCATCCTGCAGCCTCCCCGCTGCCCACCGCCCTGGCTTTGCCGCCCCACCGCCATCGGTCCTACCGTGCAGCGCCGTGCTCCCCCTGCCCGTGCCGGGGCTGGCAGCCCCCGAGAGCTCAGCTGCCCCGCAGCGCTGAGCCCAGCTGGGGGCGAGGAGCGGTCCCCATGGGGCGGCAGCGCCTGTTTGTCCTCTCCGGCCGGCAGCGCCTGGCAGGGCTGGCGCTGCCGTGACATCAATGGGCCTAAATATATCCTGGGCGAGGAACGGCCGGGCACTTCCCTGAAATTCTGATAAAAATAGTGGCGGGGGGGGGGGGGGGGGGGGGGGGGGAGCTGGCCCCAGCACAGCACCCGTGGCAGCAGGGGCAGAGCCCTCCGGGGACCGTGGTGGGGGGCCGGGCTGGGGAGCAGGGTGCAGGCTCACCCGGGCATGCTGCTGCCAGCCCTGCTGCCCGCCCCACTTCCCAGAAGTGTCACTTGAAGCCCCCGCGCCTGTCCTTTGTCAGCACAGCTGTGCTCCGCGCTGTCCCCACGCCACCGCCGAGGTGACAGGCTCAAGGGCAGCAGTGGGGGCAAGCTTGGCATGGCGGGGAAGCTGGTGGGATGCCCGGGGGACGCGTGGCACATGTGGCAGGATGCAACCTGGCCCCGGCTGCCATCCCAGCGCCTCACATGTTTGTGCCGGCGATGCCAGGACCAATGCCGCCGGCGCTGCCCACCACGGAGCGGCGGGGGCTGAGCATCAGCAGGGGCTCCAGGCAGCGAGCAAACTCTGCCCGGTACTCGCTGTTGATCTGGGGGGCAAGATGGGGGTGAGCGTGGCTGGGGCCAGGGCAGAGCCAGCAGCTGGGGCTGCCCATCGGGCGCTGCAGGCAGCGGCTCAGCCACGGGCGGGCGGCAGGGCTCTACCTTGCTGGTCTGGGCCGGCCGCAGGCGGTGCGGCAGCTTGACAATCCTCTGCAGCCTCTCCATCAGTTGCTGAAAGGCAGCAGCAAGGTGCAGTGAGGGGTGTTCGGCACCTTGCCCGTGAGCCGGGCACTGCTCCAGGGTGCACCAGACATCCCACGGCACCGCGGTGGGATGCTCCAGCCACCCTGTGGCACCGTGGCAGGATGCACCGGCCGCCCCGCGGTGCTGGCACCACTCACGTAGCCCAGGTCCAGGAACTCGGCTTTGTTGGCGGAGCTCAGGAAGGCCGAGCAGGTCACCAGGTGGACCTGTGCGCAAAGGGGTGTCACCGCCGGCGCCCCTCGGGGCTGCGGCAGCCCGGGCCCTGCCCGGCTCCTGGGGCCAGGGCATCCCGGCCCGGGGCGCTACCTGCAGGGTGGGCAGCAGCGAGGCGAGGTGGGCGAGCTGCTCCTTGAACGCCTTCTCCTTCTCCTCGTGCTGGCTGCAGCAGAGTGGGCAAGGCACAGCTTTTGTGGGGCACTGGGGAGGCGTCTGGCTCCAGGGCTCCCCAACGCACCCCAGGATGGGGGGACACCCCCAGGAGAGGGCTCAGCCTGTGGCCCCTCACCTCTGCACGGCTTTCAGGAGCGTCTTCTTCCTCTCGGAGAGCTGCTCCTGCAAAAGGCACGGCCGCCTTGTGTCCTGTGGCTGCTATGTGTCCCATGGCCACCCTGTGTCCCGCGGCCACCCCGGTCCCCTCCTGCTGCTCTGGCTCTGCTGTGCCCATGCGTCGGGCACCCATGGGTGCAGGGCACAACGTGCGGGCGGTTGCCACGCACCTGCATGCGGCCGAAGAGGGAGTTGATGGCCGCCTCCTCCTCGCTGGCACTGTTCCGCACCTCCTCTATCATGGCCTTGAGAAGGACGATGGCCTCGCGTGTGGAGGTCTGCAGCTCCTTCACGGCCTGCCCGGGGGCGGTGGAGCAGCTGTGGCACTGCGGGCGGCACTGCACCCCCACGTCCCCCCGAGACCCTCCGGCTCCTGCCCACCATCACCGCCTGGTCCAGCCGCTGGCAGCCCTGCATGTACGCCGTCTCGATGTCGATGCAGTGCGCCCGGCTCTCCCTGCGGGCACAGGCGTCAGGGCACGGGATGGGCTGGGGCGTGGGGCAGGCACGGGGCTGGGGCAGCTCACCCCTGCATGTCCCTGAAGCAGTTGATGCAGAGCATGGACTTCTTCTCAGTGGAGAACATGATGTAGGGCTCCTCGTGCAGCGCTGCAAGGGATGGGGGCGTCGGGCAGCCTGGTGTGGCATGGTGCAGCGCAATACGGTGCAGCACAGTGCAGTCTGGCACGGCATGGCACGGTGCAGCATGGCATGGTGCAGCATAGCATGGCACATCATGTTGTGGCATGGCATGGCATGGTGCAGCACAGCATGGTGCAGCATGGCATGGCATGGTGCAGCATGGCACATCATGTTTCGGCATGGCATGGCATGGTGCAGCATGGCACAGCACGGTGCAGCCTGGCATGGCACGGCATAGTACAGCATGGCATGGCACTCACGGCACTTCTTGTGGATGTCCTTGGTGCGCTTGGAGAGGGAGACGATCTCGTGGCGGGCGAACATCTTGGCGCGGTGGGTCTCCTCGCGGCACGGGGCGCAGAGGGGCTGCCCGCAGGTGTTGCAGAAGTACATGGTGTCCAGCTCCTGCGTGGGCGGGGGGGTGGCTGCTGGCGGGCAGGGCCCCGACGGGGGTCCCCTGCCTGCCCGCCCTGCTGCCCTCACCGCCTTGGCACAGCGCCGGTCGCAGTTGGCGCACTGCACGTCCTCCTCGCCGTCGGCTGAGCTGTCCACCAGGAACTGCAGGAGCCGGTCCACGGGGGGCAGCCCCGTGCCCCCCCTCACCACCGAGAGGTGCCTGTGGGGATGGGATGGGGATGGGACGGGGATGTGGACAGGGATGGGGATGACGATGGGGACACCTGCCCAGGGCAGGTGGGGGCAGCTTTGGGCACACCGGGAGCAGGGCCACGAGAGGCTGCTGGCCGAGTGCCCTGGTCCTGGCGTCTCCCCGGGCAGGGTCTGTCCCTTACCCGCAGAGCGGGCAGCGCAGGCGGCCGTCGCTGGCGCGGCCCCGCAGGCAGCTGGCGCAGAAGTTGTGGTAGCAGTCGAGCAGGCAGGGGTGCTGGTAGGGCTCGTGGCAGAGCAGGCAGACCAGCGGGTGGCAGTTGGCCTTCTCCAGCTCCGAGCAGCTCCCCAACGGGGAGAAGATGCTGCCGGCCATCTGCAGGGTGGAGAGCGGCCCCCCGCGCCCCGCGTCACCCCCTGTGCCCGGGGGGCCCAGTGCGGCACTGCTTCGTGCAAGCACCGTGGCTGCCACGGGAAGGACGAGTCCTGTCCCCTGGGCGCGCGAGCTGCCGCCTATTTTTAGGTTATGAGCAGCGCAGCACGAGGCTGCCCTAAACGCGCCCCTTCCCCCCGGTGCCGCAGGCGGGGGGCAGCGGGGCCGGGTGGGACGCCCCGCAGTGTGGGGACCCCCAGGGCAGGAGCATCCCCGGGACGGGGCGTCCCCTGCAGCAGAGCGTCCCCAGTGTGGGGGTGGGGGACGCCCAGGGCCGGGTGTCCCCCAGGAGGGAGCATCCCCTGCAACAGGGTGTCCCCTGCCCTGGGATGTCCCCTACGGTGGTGGCCCGGCAGCGAGCTGCCCCACACGCTGGGGAGCCCCTGTCCCTGGCACAGCAGAGCACTGTGGCCGGGTGAAGGCTTTACCTCTGCCTGTCCGTCCGCCGGGGCATCGGCCGAGCCGCGCTGCGCCGCTGCTCCCTGTGCGCCAGCTGGAATGAGGGCGATGCCGAGGCGGCCAGGCCTGGCCGCCCCCGTGACGCGGGGCCCCTGGCACTGCCGGGCGGCCGCCACGCCACGGCCCAAAAATAGCCCCGCGGGGATGAGGGCAGGGATGGCCCTGGGGACGCGGGGCCCTGGGGGGCACCCGGGCTGCGGGGGCGCGGGCGGCCGTGCGGGCTGGCGGTGGCCCCGGGGTGGGGGCGCACCCGGGGGGGCGGGGGCTGGGGGG